GCCAACCAACGTTTGGTGCAAGACTATTTTGCAGAGAATGCCACTTATCAAGGGTATTATTTTCGTAGGCGTTTCAGAATACTCAAAGGTTTATACGAACGTATAGTTGAAGATGTAACGAGGGAGTGCAGTTTTTTTCAACAACGCTACGATGCTAGAGGTACACCCGGTTTCACTCCCTTACAAAAATGCACGACCGCACTTCGTCAGTTAGCATATGGCATTCCGCCTGATGCGTTAGACGAAAGTTTTAGGATGTCTGCTAGGATCGTACGAGACAGTCTCCATTTTTTCTGCAAAACTGTGATTCACTTTTATGGTCCAAAATATTTACGTAAGCCTACACGTAATGACATCCTGCAATTGCAAGCTCATCATGCTAGTGTGCGTGGGTTTCCTGGAATGCTAGGAATCTTAGATTGTCTCCATTGGGCATGGGAAAATTGCCCTACAGCATATCATGGGCAATTTACCCAAGGTGATCATGGTCACCCAACGGTCATACTTGAAGCAGTTGCATCACAAGATATGTGGATTTGGCATGCTTTTTTTGGTTCTCCTGGTTCGATTAACGACATCAACGTTCTTAATCGTTCACCAATATTTAACAAAATATACGATGGATCCGCACCAGATTCTTCTTTTCAAGTGCGTGGAACGCCATATAAGTATGGTTATTATCTGGTCGATGGAATCTATCATGAGTATGATGTGTTTGTTAAATCGTTTACGAGTCCACATGGTTCTAGATGAAAGAAATTCAAGAGAGCTCAAGAAAGAGCTAGGAAGGATGTTGAGCGTGCTTTTGGAGCTCTGAAGAAACAGTGGTTCATATTGAAAAAACCAGCAGCTTATTTAGGCGAGGAAAAACTTCAAGAAATCATGTATACATGTCTTATATTGCATAACATGATTATTGAAGACGAAGGAAGAGCGATATGTGCGTTTGACGAGGAAGAAACCATACCATAGACACAACCAATAGAAATTAAAATAGTTCAAAAAAAAGAAGTTTTATTAAATTAAAGTAGTTAAAAAAAACAAAAAACAAAAAAAAATGTGTGGCACCACTCCCTTGGTGTGGCAAGAAACCACATTTGAGTGGTAAAAAATGACATGACGCTTATGTGGCGGGGGAGGGAGTGCGGTTTCGGTGACACCACTCCCTCCAGCCTAAAGATCAACAAAATACTTTGATGAATGTTACTTGATCTTATTCCTACCATAACCAAATTTCCGAATCGAGGTATTGACTTAGAGATGACTTTGTGCTCGAGATGGGATAACCACATTGAAGAAGTGAATCATTTATTTTACACTTGTGAGGTTGCCGATTAAGTTTGGTCTTCTCTTAAAAGATGGGTGGATCTCTCATATACGGATTTTCGTTCCATTATGGATATTTTCGCATGGATGTCTAAGAGGAAACAAGTAGTTTTGGAGGCTATTTTCGTGACACTTATTTAGGTTTTGTGGTCATATAACAATGGAGTAGTGTTTGACCCAAACAAGTTACGGAAGAATCAAAAGTTTGAACGAATTTTTGTTAGTTGCTTAATAAAATTCGGCCGTTCAAAAAAAATTATCAAAGAATATTATAATTCTTTTAACATAAAACACTCTATTGATGAAGTCTCAAGTGGATGTTTTACACGATTTTAGTATCATTATTTATCTACCAAACTTATTTTTAGCAAAAACCTTATACATCTTTGACACATTTACAAAACAAAGTTATACTAATAAATAGATATAACTCCCTTCAATTGTCATCAAACTTTACTATAACAAATTCAGATAAACATGTGATGCAACCTCATCATCATTTTCATGAACGTACTTCTCTTACATATTTATGGTATGATTACTCATATTCTATAACCAAAAAATAAAGATAAATGAACAAAATATTATCAGAGCATAAGATACTAAAACCAAATGAACAATTTTAATTAGTGGTTTAAAACCTCTTGTAATATGAGGTATTTGTTGGTGTAAAAATAAGGAAATGGCA